TTCCCCTGTCTGATCTGAAATGGTTATAAACATGGACTTGAATGAGCTCACTTAGCTTACCTTATGGAGTTGTGAAATTAAGATGAATTAGTTGAGTTAAAAGCAGTTGATAGTGTTAAGCACTTAAATCTTCATTCTGAAATAATTAATAGTATAAGTCTATATGTGTCAGTATTCTTGATTGTGAGTAGTAGTAATCTCACAGACGTGGCTTTTACCAAAGTGGAATTTGTTGTGTCACATAAGTGAAAGTCTGGTATGTCCCCCTTTGGGCATGGCTATATGGACTACCTCTCTTGTGAGTTTCTGGGCAGTGTCTTTTCAGCTCTTAACTATATTTCTGTGTTGACTCAGCGTCTAACTAGCTGTAGCCTTTTCCATTGAAGAAAGTCCAATACCCCCAAATCCCAAGACTATTTCACCATGCATTGGTAATGGGACCATCCTTAAACAAAACACTCCAGCCACAGATCGGAATAAATTGATTTTGATGAGAGATTATGATACTTGTCTCTATAACCTTCATGGGCAGGATCATCCTAAAATATTGAGCAACCTCAGCCCTTTAGTTCTTGGGCTTGGAGATCAGTAGAAAACACTTGAAATAAGAACTCTGGAAGAATTCCTTCCCAATAGGAAGAAATGGGGACAAGAAGTACCAGGAAGGCAAAACTATGGTCGTTGTTCCCCATCACCCATGCTGCCTAATGGTTATCGTTCTTGGCATGTCATCTTACATGGGGCCAAGGTTTCAAAGTTTTTAAAAACCTTACGTATTGTAAAAGTTACCTTTGAAAATACTGTAGGAAATGCCATATGAGAACTGTTCTTAGCATCTTACATACCCATCTGGGGCCATATGGCTGGTGCTTCTGTTGAGTATTAGATTGGATTAGTAGTTGCTTTACTGGTAGGGGCCATGTAATATGGCACTCTTCTTATAAACAGCAAAATAACTCTTGTAAGAATATTGAGAGAAAAGACAAATTTGGTGTTTCCTATGCTTGTTCAGAAGTCAACTTAGAAGACTTCTGTACCAAAGGTGTGAGTTTTTCCTCATACACCAATCAGTTCTCTGGTGGATACCAACTGGGTGTCCTCAAATTGAATTCCAATCCAATGTTCCCCAATTCCATGTACCTGTCAGGCTATAGATTGGAGTTTCCATAACCCCTTCCTCAGGTACAACTGATCTGCTTGAGCTGCTCGCAGAATTTGGGGAACCACTGTGTATCTACAAGTTTATTATAAAGGATATCATACAGGAAACCAGTGACAAGATGCATAGGGTGAGGGATGTTAAGAGTAGGGTTTCCATCATTTTCTGGGGTATCACCCTCCAGAACTTCATGTAGTTATTCAAAAGTTCTAGAGCTCAGTCTTTTTGAGTGTTTAGGGAAGTTTCATTGCGTGAGCATGAGTTGGTTAAATTAGTGACGATTAGTGATCAATTCAGCCTTTAGCCCCTCTCCCCTCCTTGGAGGTTGGGTTTAGGGCCAGAAGTCCCAACTTTCTGATCATGGCTTGATCTTCCCAGTGACAGCCATCATTTAACTTATTAACATAGAAGACGATTACTTATAGAGAATTCACAGATCTTAGGCGTTATGTGCTAGGTAACTGGATGAAGACCACACATATCTTAACAGTGATGGCAGATGTTTTAGAAACCAAGTGCCAGATGCAACCCAACACTCATTTATAATGAAGTGCCAGCACTGCAATTAAGCTTGAATACCAAGGCTTTACTTTAGAAAAAAGTAACAACTCTACGTTAACATCTTTAATCTTAAAAGAAAAAAACACAACACAGGGCATAAGGTTACCACCACTATCTTAGAATATCACAATTATTCATTCAATAAGATGCTCACATTTTTGAGTAAAAAAAGGTGAGAGGACAGGGAGGAGCTTGTCAGGATAAGTAAGGAGGAGGCAGAGATCAGTGGCCGTCAGGCTTTATGTGCTTCCAGGCACGTGTGCTTGAATTCGCTAAACTAAGCATTAAAATAATCCTCTATCAAATATCAAAATTCCCAGCCCTTCAGTGTCCAGTTACCTCATCCCTGTGCAGACCTGGAACCCATAGGAAATACTGGGTCTTTTCACAGCAGTGGAGGAAAGGAAAAGGACAACCCAGCAGAAATAGACATTTGGAAAAGGAAGCACCGAGAGACCATAAGTCCCTTCGCCCATCGTGTCCTCCTCAGCGACAGCTGGCACTGGGTGACTTGGTGGAGATGAGACTGGCTTAGGGAGCTGCATGGCCTCCACACTTCCACCCTGTGGGAAGAATTTCTGGAGCTGCCCTCCTTTTACAGCTCATTTATTTCTGGTGTGGATTTATGGGCCTCCTGATTGATTCCCTAAGAGGCTGAGACATCACAGGCATTTGTTTTCTAGACTAAGTCATTCTCTGGCAATAAAAGTACCTTTAAAATTTAGGAGGTTGTCTCTCTAATATTTAGATTTGGCCAACTCAGTTTGGTGCTTAGTAACCAAGAGTCACACATGGAGTCTAGTTGTGATCCTTGAGGCTGAACCTCCGATGCCTAGCAACAGACCTAGGAATTTCCCAGCCTACAGCTTTATGCTTCCACAGGCCTTGCCTCCAGGCAACTTAAATAAGAACCTAGAGGGGCCAAACTAACCTGTTCCCAGGCTGCTGGCCAGAAGATCCTTGCTGCCAGTGTTAACAAGATGATGAGGACCTCAGGGTTGTCCCTGGCTCATTTCCAGATTTGCTTTCCTTCTGTTGACTTTAGCCTGGACAGAGAACATAGCTCTACATCTTCTTGGAGGGATTACTGTCTACTTAGAGAAAGGCCTCCATGGTGAGGCTGTTGGCTTTTAGGTGGTCCTGCCTCAAAGGAAGCTTGGCTTTTATCTGTAACACCTACGGACCACCACAAGAACTGACCCACACCCTGCCACCTTCGCCTAGTGCCTGCCAGCTTCCCTTTGAACTCCAGTCCATCCTGACTTCCAGGCACCCAATTCATACTTCTTCAAACAAAAAAGGAGCTTGTGTTGGCTGAAACACCTGGGTGACCTGGGGAAAAATAGCTACTGGCCCTGGTGCATGGGCTGAGCCAGAATTTTCAATCATGGCCTTGAGTCCCAGCTTATCAGCTTCACTAGAAAGGACACAACTCTTTCTTGCCAGTAGTTCCGGGAAAAGTCATGGGGGTGTCTTTTGTTCACCCAGCTTTGGTCGCATTCCCAGCAGGATGTGGCAGGATGGGGCACAGTGATTAGCCAAGGCTGGGTCACCTGTGTGTACCAAGGCACTAAGGCAAGGGCAGGCAATCCCCAGAAAAGAAAGAGGAGTGAATGCTGGCCAGCTGAAAGGGCAGACCCGCACAGAGATTCTGCGGTAGAGCTGAGAAGGGGAGACGAAAGCCAAAAGGCAAACTTGCCACATTGTCTCTTCTGGACGAGAAGGAGAGGTGTAGCTCAGCGCTAACCAGCAGAAGCCATAGTAAGAGAAAAATAGAAGAAGTAGGTGAAATAACCATCTGATAACATTATACTTAATATTTTATAAAGCCAAAGATTATCATTTTGACATGTTATCTTTTTCCCCCACCATGTGTCCAAAATCCAGCACGAATTTTATACTTAGCACATGCCAGTTCAGGTGGGCTACAGTGGCTTCTGTGGTGGAAAGTTCAGGTTGGCTGGTGACTTCTCACAGAGAAGCTGGACATCTGTTGTCCTCTAGTAAGTTATCGCTTGTGTTTCCATTCATGAGGAATTCATCTGAAATTGCAAACTCGTTGGAAGGATCTACCCCGTGATGGGCCACAACATGTGTTGCCCTGCTGGGTGTCTGGTGGGAGCCATCCCTGTCCAAACACTACTCCTGCAGTTAGTACTGACTTAGTTGTCATCCATCTTTTCTGAGACGCTAAGCCCTAGTAAGGCAGGAGCTCTTGCGTGCTTCCGTGTGTGTGTGTGTGTGTGTGTGTGTGTGTTACCGGGGATTGATCCCAACACCTTCAAACTGAGCTATATACATCCCAATCCGTTTTTATTGAATTTTTATTTTTTTTTAATTTTATTTTTATTTTTTGGCAGAACTGGGGATTGAACTCAGGCCCTGGCGCCTGCCAGGCAAGTGCTTATTCTACTGAACTATCTCCCCAGTCCCCTTTATTGAATTTTTATTGAGGCAAATCTTGCTAAGTCACTCAGCTGCCCAGGCTGGGCTAGAACTTGTGATCCTCCTGCCTCAGCTTCCCAGAGTGCTGGGATTATAGGCTCTTGCTTTACTGCTTCTGTTTCCTAAACGTACTTGCCAGTACATGAAAGACATTAGATGGGTATTTTTAAAGTGAGATAGAATTAAATGAAAAACTTAAGTCCTTACTTCCTTGGTTTGGTTGAAGCCTACAGTTGTGTATTTACAGTGTTTCTTTTCCTGATGGAGGACCCTTTGCAGTCTGGTTAGTTGTTTCTGTGCAGACACTCTTGATAAATATATAGAGCATGATTGAATCCCTGCAGAAAGCTGGCCTGTGCCACGCATGGGCATACAAGGTAAATGGGACACAGTCTGTGCCTTAAGGGAACAGAGAAATAGATGAAGAACTTACACAATACTTTCAGTAAGCGTTATCATAGAAGTGAACACAGAGCTCTGGGGGAGCACTTAGGAATCCACGGCAGGACAGAATGGAGGTGGACAGGAAACATAAATTGGTGCTGCTCCCTGGGCTGTGCGAGATTTGTAGCATCCCGCCGCGTGCTTGGTAGCTCTGTCGAATCAGTGAACAGAGCCGCATCTGCGCTTCACACTCAGGAATCACTGGGTTTGTCCACTTGTGCGCGGGCACGTGATCACCTCAGGTGTTTGTCTTCGAGCTGCTTCGCAAACCTTGGAGTGACAGGGCTGAGAGCTGCTGGTGCCTGCAGCGTTTGGTAGGGTGAAGCCAACCAGCCTCCACGTTTGCCATTGTCCATATGACCTGTGACAGGCCATCGCATTTGTGTTACAGGCAAAGCGAAGGCTGGAGCTAGGAGAAAGCGGTCACCAGTACCTCTCAGATGGTTTAAAAACTCCCAAGGGCAAAGGAAGAGCTGCACTACGAAGTCCGGATAGCCCCAAAAGTAAGGATTCTTTCATCTCTTTCCTTAATCTCCTGGGTGTGGGATTCCCACCTTGCAAAGCTTGTGGCTGGAAGATTGCCAAGGTGTGAACAGTCTTGGCGTGTTTTGATTTTATTTCTTTCTGTGCCTGTCTGAAAATTAAAGACTGGCTGCAGACACCTAGGGAAAGGCTGTAATTCCTCTTAATACTGAAAACTGGTGTAAGGGAAGACTTCTGCCACTAAAGGCAGTGTCATCTTCAAGTCAGAATATAAGCATCATCCTGTAATTTCACTGAGCTGTAACTTTCCTTCACGGGCAGGACTTCAAAGTGTGAGGCTAGCCGGATGTAGGTGGACTGTAGCAGTTACAGTAGCAGAACTGACTGTACCTGATAATGTGCAGCTGGTTGCATTCCCATTGAATGCTCTCCTCGTGTCTTTTGGGAGAGAGAGAAGTAGGTTAGGAATAGCCAGTACATTGGGCCAGGGAGATAGCTCAGAATAAGCGCTTGCCTAGCAAGCACAGGACCCTGAACTCAATCCTCAGTACCACCAAACAAACAAAAAAAAAGAACCAGTCTGTTTATGTTGTTGCATTTAATGTAAAAGGTAAATTAGACTTCCTTCTTCCCTGCATATGGTTTATGCTTAGGCCATCCACAAAGCCTGTGCAATGCTAAATTGAAACGTAGATCTGGCAGGGTTGGTGGTGCATGCTTATAATCCCAACATTATGGGAGGCCCAGGCAGGAGGATTGCAAGTTCAAGCCTAGGCCGGGCTATGTAAAATTTAGATGGACAGACCAATGGACAGACAGATAACATACATATGTAGCAATGCAAAATTTATATAGATACAATAAGTAGATAGACTAGAGAGATTGCTGGGGCTATAACTTAGTACAAAGGCCCCACATTCAGTCTTCAGTACCAAAAAAAAAAAGTGCGCCTATAAGAGAATAAATACAATATTAAATAAATGTAATTTCCAAGAGATGGGAAGATTTTTAGTTCTCTGAGACAGAGTCTTGCTATGCAGTGAGGCTAGGCTTAAAGTCACTGGATAGCCCAGGCTGGCCTGGAACTCCTTCTGCCACAGCTGCCCAAGTGCTGGGATTACAGGCATGCGCCACCACTCCTGTCCCTGGCTGAGAGATGGGGAGGTTTGATAGACTTGCAAGTATTCCTCTCCCAAATGAAGCATTATTTGAAAAATTGGTGGATAAATGATAGTATGTTGGCCCGAGAGGCCAGCAAAGACAAAGCTGCGGAGACCCTGCCTTCTCTAGACCCAGGGGCGCGATTCCCTTGGCTGCTGGGGGTGGCAGAGCCAGAGCAGGAGGTCCTGAGAAATTCAGAGGGAAGCCTGATCAGGAGGCATGGATTTCCATTGTCCCTACTTTTTCTAATAAAGCAATGTCATGGCTTTCTGTAACTCACCAAGAACACTGGCTTCGCTTCAGGAGCTAACCTCGGGCTGTGGTGGGAAAGCGCTGGCTGGCCTAACTGCACAGAGACCCTTCATTTCTTTACCTCTCCCCCTGCCCCCACCCGTTCGGTTTTTGTTTTCCTTTAAGCTCCAAAATCTCCCTCAGAAAAAACGCGGTATGACACGTCCCTCGGTCTGCTCACCAAGAAGTTCATTCAGCTCCTGAGCCAGTCGCCCGATGGGGTCTTGGACTTGAACAAGGCAGCGGAGGTGCTCAAAGTGCAGAAGAGGAGGATTTACGACATCACCAACGTGCTGGAAGGCATCCACCTCATCAAGAAAAAGTCCAAGAACAACGTCCAGTGGATGTGAGTGAGATCCATGCACCCTGCCTGGGTTTCCCCCATTCAGTGTTCATAGCTTTGCTCACTTATTTTTTTCCTTCCTCGACTCCTTGGCTATTAAAGAACTGGGGTTTGAACCCAGGTCCTTTACATCCTTTGCATGAACTATATACCCAGCCCTTTTTTTTTTTTTTTTTTTTTTTTTTTGAGACAGGTCTCATTAAGTTTCTAACAGGCCCAAGCTTTGCTCCACTTGGTGATCCTCATGTCTCAGCCTCCCAGAGTGCTAGGATTACAGTCCTGTGCCACCACACCCGACTTCTCCTCAGTGTCTTGAACAAAACTTCATGGTCTTCTGTTGAGAGACTGTCTGAGATAGAGGATCAGCATTTGATTAGTATCAAGTAGGGGAAGCCACTTAGAGACTAGAGAGAGGCTCCCTGGCTCCCAGCTGATGTCTCTGTGTGCACATGTGTGTCCTTAGAAGTGTTCACACATGTCCTTGACTTATCTCCCATAGGAACTTGGAGATTAATGATGGCTTGTAGTCATCTGGATGTACATGATGATCACATGATCGATCGTACAATCACAAAGCATCTTTAACCTTGTGATTGATCAACTCATTTTCTGTATAAATAAAGACAAGACTTATATGGCTCCATGTCTTCTATAGACTGAGGATGACTCTTGCTACCTGTATGTCCAGAGAGCTGATTAAATATACAGTAATATCATTTGTGAATTATAGACAGGAACTAAAAAGCTGGTATTTTATATTTCATATAGTATTAAACTATTAAAGCATATTGGAAGGAATAGATTGGTTGGCTTTTTTAAAAAAACCATTCAAATATAATAAAATGAATGGATAAACTTTTTGTCCTTAATGGAATTTTGGATAGTTTGGTAACCCATTTTGACCTATGTCTTTGTTCTTGCTGATAATGAGTTTGTGTCCTTTACCTCTTTTTTTTTTTTTTTTTTTTTTTTTAGCTATTGATAAAAGACCCTCAGAAATTACCTGGTTTTCTGGTTTTGTTTTGTTTTTGTATTTGAACCATTCCATCTTTTCTGTCTTTCTATGTCTCTTATCTTCCCCACCCTAGAAAGTGTAAGGTGGAGGGTGGGGGTCGAGCACCAGGTGGCTGCCGCCTTTTGTCCTCTAAATTTGAGCCTTCTAAATGGGTCTGCTTTGCAGAAAAGAGCTCTGAAAATGACAGTGCTTTTTCACTTAGTTTTGATGTTGTGAAAAATGCGGGACACTGTTCATGAAAAACACATACAAAGTTCTGATTTTAACCTTTAGCTAGCAAGCACTGTGACCTCCTGTGTGGAGGGGGCAGTTACTCACAAGACCATTCCATAAGAGCCATGAAGCATCTGTGCTTGGGTCCTAGGGGCTGCAGTCTGTCTGAGGATGGCGGCATGCTGGCCCAGTGTCAAGGCCTGTCAAAAGAGGTGACGGAGCTCAGTCAGGAAGAGAAGAAGTTAGATGAACTGATCCAAAGCTGCACCCTGGACCTCAAACTGTTAACCGAGGATTCAGAGAATCAAAGATATCCTTTGTGCCACGGTTGATGGGGAGCCAGTGCCTGCTAGACTATTTTCAGAGTTGGCAGTCTGACATAGGCACAGAGTAGATTTTATTCTGGTTTCATGCAAGATTTTGTGTGTGTGTGTGTGTGTGTGTGTGTGTGTGTGTGTGTGTGTGTAAGCCTACTTTGTTTTGCCTGGAAAGTCAACATCTTTGATAAGATACTCATTGGACTAGATCCTATCATTATGTTTTAAAAGCCAGGTGGGAACCTGTTTTTAAAGCATTTTATTCATGTGTGGTTAAAGCATATGGCTACACTCACAACGTAAGGCTATACTAATAAAAGATATGTAAGGTATTGATATTAATATTAATGACAACACTCAGCAGATTCAACTTCGGCTTCCCAGATTTTGGGTGGGTGTGAGCTGTCACTGTTGGGGTTCTCACATTCTATTTTCTTTTCATCAGCCATTGTAGCAATTGGAATCCGTTGACTCTCCCTGACTGAGCTATCGTTGAAGGGTTTGAAGAACAGAAAAAGTAACCTAGCTATTTAAGTGCCTTGTGCTGGTTCCCACTACCAGAAACTGATTTCAGGAGCATTCCAACACCTGGAAAAATCTCACCTCACCATTTGTCCTCAAACATTCGTCCTCAAAAATAAAACTATGAGGAGCTACTTAGCGTTTGTGGCTTGAAGTTGATACTCTGTTGACCATCAAGGCAAACTTCACCTTCTGTCAGCAAAGTAGGAGAGGTGGCTCCATGGTGTCAGCAGGGTTTGCCAGTATTCTCGATTATTGGTAGAAGACGAAAGCAGCAGATTAAATTCTCCCATCTCTAATTTTAGTCCTGTACTTGTGATGATTCCACACTGACCTTTGTTAGAGAAGAAAATGTACCCTGCCCACTTTCTTCTCGGTTCTCACATGTGAACAGTCTCTCCTTTGGAAGGTATAATGACATGTATTTCCCCATGTTTTTGGGGGGTTCTTTTTTTTTTCCTAAACTTGCAACTGTTCATCTCCTGTTGACCTTGTCAGCTGATGATTAGTGAGATAGAGAAGAGGTGTGATGACTAAAACCCCCAAGGGTTCCCAGAGTGGGTTGCAGGGCCTGTTCCATTCATTGTTTAGTTGGGAGCCCCATTGTGGAGGAGCTGTGTGGTTATACATGATTGGCAGCTCTTGGGAACATGTGGCTAATGGCATTGTCCTTTACATTAGCTTTCTCTGAGGTCTTTGTTGCAGGAAATGAAAGCTTCCTTGCAGGGGACTGCCAACCCCAGAAGCAAATTCGGGAGGGAGCCACAAAGGAAGCACTTTTTAAATTTGTAAGATTAGAAAATATGTTTGCACAGTTTATTTCAATTCACCATTCAGTTCCCAATTTGGTACAGCTTGTTCACAAATGTGTTGAAATTTTCTTTCTTGGAGCATGTTGAGTAATTGTAGATGAGTTTTTATTTTAATAAGTTCTTGTCGCTTAGCTTGCTGGCAGTGGGCTATGCGGTCAAAACCTGTGCACCCATTGTACTCAGTGTTCAAAGTAAAAATCAGGAGCTTCTTGTCTTCTGTAAAGGTTTCAGTAGATTCTTTGATAGGAGAAGTGGGGTCTGAGGCTCATGATCCTAAAACAACAGCCCCTACCAACCGCTGTTTCAGCTGTAGAGAGTGAAGAAGGTGATCTATGATAAATCCCCTATACATATGTGCAGGTTCTGTAGATGTGCTTTTTTTTCTGCCAAGTAGATTCATAGCTTCTGTAACAAGTATCTAATAAGAAACTTCTATTCTAAGGGACATCATTTCCTCTAGGATTTCAAAATCCTTTTTCCATATTAAATATATTAGATCACAGCCACTATTAGGTATATTATATTACCTACAGAAATGCTTTCATTGATTTGTTATTTGGTATTTTATTCTAGGCATTTTAATGGGTTTATTTTTAAACAGCTGACTAAAGACATTGCTCATGTTATTCCATGTCTCTTAACAAAGCCTTGCATCCTATTATATTCCTTCGATGTCAAGTAAAAGTTGATCTCGAAAGTCTGGGTTGTTTTTGTTTTTGTTTTTTGGTTTTTCTTTCTTTTTTTGGCACTAGGCATTGAACTCACAACCTTGCACTTGCCACACAGGCACTGTGCCGCTGAGCTACATCCCCAGCTATTGATCTCTAAGTGAGCTCACATGAATACTTTCACCGTATAGTAAGTATCTTGATATTTCATGGTAGCTTTTTAGGCTTGGCTTCAGGACACTTACAAGAGCCATTCCATACTTGGAAATACTAGCAAGAGTGGTGAAATTCTATCTTATTCTTTTTTCCTAAATCAGGTTTTCTCATATTACAGAACACCTGGGATCCACTTTCCTACTTGTGAACATTGAAATTAATAGGAGAGTTAATAATATCACACAAAGGATAATTTTCATAACAGAAATAATGACACTCTTATTATCTAGGTAATACACAATCACCAGCAGCCCAGGTGCTCTTCAGAAAACAAGCTCTTTGCCTGAGCAGCATTCTGAGTTCTCCCACCAACATGTTTGCTCCTCATTGATTCATTTGATGGCTGCTGACACTTGCTAATAACCTGGGAGTTCACAAGATTGGTAGAGCTTACATTATTTTCTACAAGTTGGGGCCTGCCATCTTTCAGTTCGAGTGATTCACTAGGGTCCATGGGATACTTGTATACCAAAAGAACATGGCTTTAAAATACCTGACTTTCTGTATTTTAGGGAAGGGTCTACAGGGTGTTCAGGGTCTCACTACTAGATCGGACTCATAGTGATCCACCTGTTTACAGCCTCCCAAGAGCTGGGATTACAGGCAGGTGCCACCACACCCAGTCTCCATGCCCTCTCAGTGGGACCCAGGGGCAGGGCCAGTACAGCAGGCCCAGGGATTGAACCCCTGGCTCCTGCGCCTACTTGCAGGCGCTTTAATCCGCTGAGCTATTTTACTGGCCCCAAAATACCTGGCTTATGTGGGTATTGATTTTTATTTGACAGTTTAACTGTCTTTGTATTTTAATATTCTAAGTAGCCATCAAAATGGGAAGGATAAAGTCTATATTTCTTTTGCTCTCTAGAACATCAGTCAGTAAAGAAGATCCCTGAGGGACCCAGTATATCTGAAGATCCAGAATCAGAGACTTTTTAAATTTTTCTTTTTTTTTTTTTTAATTTTTATTTATTTGTGTGTGTGTGTGTGTGTGTGTGTGTGGCCAGCTCAGCCCACCAGGGGGCGAGGCTGGCTGGCATGTGGTTGCTGGGGGATTGAACCGCGGTCCCTGTGCTTTGCTAAGCTTGTTCTAAGTAGGTGCTTTAGACCACTGAGCCATCTCACCAGCCCCTTAAATTTTTGAGTCCAATGCACCAAACTTGGAACTCACTATGTAGCTCAGGCTGGCTTTGAATTTGTGATGATCTTCCTGCCTCAGCCTCCTGGGTACTAAAATTACAGGCCTGTACCACTATACCCAGTTCAGACATAATATATTTTTTTATGAAAAATCAAATTTCAAAACAAAGTAAGAACAAAAAATAAGAGAATAATAATTATATACTATGTATCATACTCTTAAAAATAGCTACTTAGGGCATAAGACATAAAAAAGACTATGAAAAGAAACATATAGCCCACATTCTTTTCAGTGAAGAAACTAGTAATATAAATGAAACAACTTAGCATATATGTTAAAATATTTTAAAACAATGGAATAGGTAATTCTCCCTACCTCCTATTTACCTTTTATGAGACATTCTTATAAGGTGGTTTAAGTTTTTCCCATGTATTTTGCCGATTTCATGATATATCTGAGCTAACTAGGTAGAAGATTTCCTTAACACTTGTAACGTTAGCTTATGTTACATATCAAGATATTCGAAAAATTAGTGGCCTTAAAGACCAAACTGTTATAGTTGTGAAAGCCCCTCCAGAAACAAGACTTGAAGTGCCTGACGCCATAGAGGTAAGGAGACGGCGGCTTTGTGTATTTGCAAAGATCTTGGAATGCCTGAAGTTCAGTAGTATTGACTCATGGTGAAGGAGCCTGACCTGTTCTTACAACTTCATAGTTGTTTCCCATTTATTTTCCTTAACCCTATATTTGAAAGTGTTTCAACTATTTGATGTTTCTTGAATGTCCAGAAAATCTAACACACCCACGGAGCTGGAAGCAGTCAGTGATGCCCAGCTCCTCTTATTCTCATTCTCTCTGTCGTCTCTGTCTCTCTCTCTGTCTCTCTCTCTGTCTCTCTCTCTCTCTCTCTCTGTCTCTCTCTCTGTCTCTCTCTGTCTCTCTGTCTCTCTCTCTCTCTGTCTCTCTCTCTCTCTCTCTCTCTCTCTCTCTCTGTCATAATTTGTTATTTGTTATCTGGTAGTTCTGATCAGTTCGAGCCACTTGAGAAATTTGATGTTGATTACCTTCTATCCGGTTGCCTCCATGAATAGAGGCACAAGTGCTGTGAAGTATCTCTCTAGCTTAGCACATTTTAAGAATTTTTATAGCGCTTCTTAACATGTTTACTTTTAGGAAATTAAATGGGACCTTGAAGTATTTGATAGACTAGAATATTTTAAGAAAATAGAGCACATATTTTTGTGATCACTTTCAGATGTACTTTGATAAATTTGGCTTAGACTGCAATGATAAGATAAAGAACTGTAGTGAAAAAAATACACAAGAGGCAAGAGGATGACATTTGCAAGCCCCCTCTAGGCTAGACCTCCCACCTTGAAAGATTATTATCAGTGCCATAGGTGAAGGAGTTTTAAATGCCAGGGTCCTGCAGTCTCTTATTAAATGCAATTCCTAGGAATGCTATTTATAAGTTGGTTATTACAATTTAGCATTAGAAAGTCCTACCATAATGGAACAATAACATGAAAGTACTCTCTCCGGAATACTAAATGGGCCTTTTAATAATTTGTAGAAAAAGACTAATTTATCTAAAGAACATAATTTACTTGTACCATTTTTACAGACTGACATCCCCTACCCCAAAATGTTCTCAGAATAAGTACTAGGTGGTAAATGTCCTTGGCTTTGTGAACCCTGCTGCCTTTGTTCGGGCTATTCAACTACTAGACTGTGCCTTTGCAATACGGAAACATCCAGAGGCAACACGTTAAGTAGGGACGGCCACAGCTGTGCTCCAATAAAACTTTCTTTACCAAGCCATTTGGTGGGTTGGGTGTAGCCCTCTAGCTTTAGTTTGCTGACCCCTGCTTTACAGGAACAGTTATTAGTAGGGTTACACTATCAGCAAAGAAGCAATGTGAACAATGACTATTGCGCTGATATTTCAGTTTGAGGTGACAGTACCTTGGCTTTCACTTCTAAAAGACCTGTAGGTTGAACTTTTGTCATCTCTATTCATAGAGCCTACAAATCCATTTGGCAAGTACCCAAGGACCCATTGAGGTTTACTTGTGTCCAGAAGAGACTGAAACACACAGTCCGATGAAAACCAACAACCAAGACCACAATGGGAACATCCCTAAACCCACTTCCAAAGGTAAAAATTCCACTTTTGTCTTCTGGAAACTATGTTAGGAATGAAGGTGACTAGAAAGAAGCACAAGTCTAAGCAGGAAACAAAAAATTTCTGTCGTCACTAAGGTAGCATTTTTTAAAAGGTATTCTGACTGGTTTATAGAATAAAACAATAATTTTGGGCAAAGCCTCCTCCATTCATTCATGAATCCCTTCAGCCTTTGCTTAACAAAAGCCATTTTTTTGCATTGTCTTGGTGACTTACCTGCTGCCCTGGTAACCTGGCCAAACACCTTTGAAGGATGCTGCAGAGTAGAGAAGGAAATGAAGTTTGGAGAGAATAGCCTCTGTCCAAGAGTTTTTATTTTCCTCGTAATGCAAACGGTTATAGCTGTAAAACCCTAGGAAATTTTTTTTTTTTTCTTTTTGTGGTACCAGGGATTGAACTCCGGACGCTGAACTTGCCAGGCAAGTACTTATTCTACTGAGCTATTTCCCTGGGCCTGTAAATAATCATAAGCTGCTTTTTTTTTTTTTTTTTTTCTAGTACTGGGGATCAATCTTAGGACCTTGCTCTTTCCAGGCAGGCGCGTATGCCACTGAGCTATCCTGACCCTGGAAAAATAATTCTTAACTTCTCTAGCCCTGCTCTGTTGGTAGAGCAAAGCTCTTCACAGTTTCAGTTTAAGGACATGTGTGGGAACCAGATATTTAACTCAGTGGCATAGTGCCTGCTTGGCAAGCGAGAGGTCCTGAGTTTGATTTTTGGTTCCAAAAAAGAATATATGTTTGAGCTGGAGATATATAGTTCAGCAGCACACAAAGTCTGCCTGGCTAGCACAAGGTCCTAAGTTTGATTCCTGGTACCATAAATAAATAAATATAAATATATATAAACTTTTCCCCTATCATCTCCCAGTATAGCAGAAAAAAATGGTGATTTAAAGGAATAGATCTGATTTAATACTGAGCAAAAATACATCAACTAAAATGGTAAAAACAAAAGATTTTCTTTTTTCACCATAGAAATTCAAAGGTGATAATGCTTTATTATAGATATTTTTCTGAGGTATTTTTCATAAACTGATTGTTCTGGCTTACAGCTATTGAGTTTTTCCTTGGGGAGCCAACTCTTCACAATTCACGTATTATTTTGCCTTTCTTAAGACAACATCTAGTTACTGGAGAGAAGTTTGTGAACTAGTTAGCTTCTCTTCTGCAAGGCTATTTGCAGGTTTTTTGGCAGCAGGTATTTTGAGAGATGAGTAAGTAGACCAGGGCAGAGGAGAGTGACAAGTCACTCCGCCATGGCATGAAGCGGAGGGGAGGTGCACCCCAGATTTGTCCCATTGTCATTTAGCAAAGTGACCGAAAAGAATTCAATTGGTTTTCCTCTTACTTTTGGTTTCCCCTAATGTTTTCCTTTCAGACTTGGCTTCAAATAACTCAGGACATAGCGACTGCTCAATTTCTGTGGCAAACCTTTCTCCTCTGGCCTCCCCAGCCAACCTTTTACAGCAGACTGAGGACCAAATTCCTTCCAACTTAGAAGGACCATTTGTGAACTTACTGCCTCCCCTACTCCAAGAGGATTACCTGCTGAGCCTGGGGGAGGAAGAAGGCATCAGTGATCTCTTTGATGCTTATGATTTGGAAAAGCTCCCATTGGTGGAAGACTTTATGTGTAGTTGATTATGCTGTGTGTGACCTTTCCTTATAAACCAATCCTTTTTTTATCCTGGAACAAGAACATCTGTCATGCAGTGTTGTCCCTTCCTACCTTCTTCCTCCAAGAGAGTATCATGAAGTAAACTACAAACTTCAGAACAAAGTTGACTTTAACAAATTAAATAATTGTCTAAACGCACAGTTGCAGGCTCCCTTGGGAAATCCCTGCCTTGTCCCAGGCTCCAAAATCTCCTGGAAGAGTCAGCAAGTGAGAAAATGTGCAATCAGGTGTCTTCTGCCTGTCCTTTTCTTCTTCCCTTCTCCCTCCCTCCCTCCCTCCCTCCCTCCCTCTCTCCCTCTCACCCTCCCTCCCTCTCAGATTGGCTTGCTGTGCCTGACGGATGGGTTGTAGAATGGGGTCCAGCCACCTGGCCCACTGGAAAACAGCAATCTTCCTTAATAGCATTTCAAGCCGTGCCTTCTCTGCAGAATGCATGTCTTTGGGGTCTGCTAATATGGAATGGAACTGCAGCAAATGCAAACTTGAAGTCATGCAAAAGTATGAATTGGATTTCCTCATCTCTTCTTAGGAATATTTAAATTACTCTCATACTTCAGTTTAAGCTATGGGCTTTGTGTCCCACTAAGGAGGTCACAAGAACCTCCACGGCCTTTCGGATGAAGAACCTGTTTTCAAAGTACTTGTTTCAGATACAGAGGACTAGTGGAGTTCTGCCACTCAAAGCTGTTGTGGATTTTCCTGTCTCCATTTTCCCACTCCTACTCCTGCTCCCCTGTCCCCAGTGTATTTGTGAGTTTCCAGTTGATTTGTAGCAGATGCCTACTTAACGAGTTCTTTGTGGATTGTTTTAGACTTTTTTCTTTAGCTGCCATTTAAGCATTCCTGTGGCACCCATCACCATTTCAAGTCATTGTTTACTTTGAAGCGGTTTTTGCAAATTTGTATTGCTTTAGCAGAGGGAGAGGACCTCTGCCTGTCAGAGCATCTAAACCTGTGTGACCTGAGGTCTACCAGCCTCCGCAAAAAGCACTGCCCCATCTTGCTTCCTTTCTGGGGAAGGGGGCTCAGGGCCAGTCCAGCCTGGAGCTCCGTGATATGGGTGGCCCACTGGGAAGGAGAACAGACTATGAAGCAGTCCCAAGGAGCAGCAGGCACGGACCCCTCCGTCCTTGGGCTTCCCAGGCCCCTGTGACCAGGGAAAGGGCTTTTATGCCACACTCAGGGAGACCACTTCTCAGGATGGGTCAGATGGAGAGGCCTCTAGGGAGAAAGACATCCCCATTGTGTGAGTGGCATTCTGTGGGGGGCACTTCCTCAAGCTAGAAAGAGCAGAGCACTCCCACTCTGTCGGGGTAGAATAGTCCTGGCCACATCCAGCTCCCCTTCTCCCGTGAAGGAGCGTGTTGGACTAAAGGAAATCGGACTAAGCAAAGTGATAGAACTCCAGGGCATCTCCCTCTTCTCTCCTCAGGAATGGTGTCCCAAGTTGGAAGCTTCCTGTCTACTGCAGATCCCACAGTTGTGTCCAGGAATGGCATTCCCACTGGCAGATGGCACTGGCCATCTCCTCCTGGGAATGTGGCCTTGTACCTCAAATCCACTACTTGGATACTAAGGGCTGCAGAAATGAGGAAGTCACAAAAAACTAACCTCCGAACGAACATTTGAATTGAAATGTTTTGTGCCTGGCCCATTGGGAGGCACATGGTAGGCACTGGACTCCTACGCATTTGTTTGAATTGGTGGTATTCCTTAGGAAACAAATACTAATAAACCACAAGAACCCCAGCCAGTTTACTCTAGATAGATTTCCACAATATGCAAAGTGGTGGTGGGGTCCAGACAGATGACACCAGCACTTTAAACTCTGTGTGTGGGTATGCGTGGTGTATGTTTGGAAAGAAAAACAAAGGTGCAGACTATCTTCTTCTCTCTTCTTCAGCCTCCTCCCCTCACACACACTGGACTTGGTACAGAATATCCGTGTGGTCCGAGATGAAGCGTTGGGGTGGAGGAAGGAGGGGAGCTTCGTGTTAAGTGCCTACTGGAAATGCACTGTGGGGTTTTTTCCTGCATGGGAAACCATTTATGCCAAGCTTTCCCCTACGTCCCGTATTTATCTCATCTGGGTAGCTGCCTCTGCTTCCAGCTCTGGCTCCTTCTCTTTGCCAGCTGCACAGAGCTGATTTTTTTCCAAAGTCTAAAGACTGAGCTCACCTGGCTAGGTTGTTGTGTGTTTTGTTGACTTTCTTGTTGAACCTTTTCATAATGTAATGCTGTATTTATTGTTTAAAAAAAAAAAAAGGAATACTAATAAGTCTTAAAAATTCTTCCGTGCATATGATTTTTCCAGTTCTTGAGCTTAACTGGGGTACATGAATTTGACGTCCATACTGTATTCTGTTGGCGTTAGTCATTTTCTTTCCCCATAGTATCTGGCACACCAAGTGGGTTAGTACTACAGTGTTTGTGTTACTTTAAGTAGTAAGTGTGCAGGTTTCCTGGTACCATTGAGTTGCTGCTACTAAAGCTCACACATGAAAGGCTAAAAGTTACAAGTGCAAATTATGACTGAGTGAGCCTTAGAAAATAAAGTGTATAATGGGCAACACATAAGCTGTCAAACAGTGTTAGGTGTGTGTTTATATGTACAGTTGTGCATAGCAATCCTTTTATTTAAGTTGATATGTAGTCTACTCACACCTTCATTATTTAGCAATTTGTACAAATCTAGCAATTAATTTGTAAACACTGCCAGAATATTTTCTAGCTGGTTTGTAATTTTTTAAGAGTGTTACCTTGTTTGTGTTTTGTTGTTGCTGTTGTGGTTCTTGTTTTCATTTTTGTCTTACATGTAGACTTGTAAATAGAATTGCAGTATTTAAAGCATTAGGTTTCAGGAAAAGGAAGTAGGAACTCAGTGCATGCGTGACAACTTGTGTGTATGAGAAGGAAGGATCAGAGGGAAGATGCCTTGCGGAGGAAGTTGAGTGGCAATTGTCAGTGTAGGAATTTCTCTTCCTACAGGGTACATGATTTTGTAAAAAGGAAGTATTTCTCCCAAGATTGGGAGTAGGCATACTACTAATCAATTTAGCTTTGTGTTATATGCTAGTTTAAAAAAGAAAATATGTAATATAATGTATAAAAAATGAACAAAAAAAAAAGCTTTTATGATGGATTTTGTAAATAGATTTGTTACAGGGTGACCTGTTCTCTAGCTGTGATCTTACCACTTCAAATGGATGTAATTTGAATAAATTTTGTATGGTAAAGGATCAATAAAATGATTTTTTTTAAAGAGTTCAGACTTGTGGATAGATTTTCTTAGTGTTATGCCAGTGAAATACCAGTTTAAGGCTTAAAGACAGTCTCTGTTATTATGGAGAAGACTGAACAAAAGTGTCGCATTGTATGCTTGTCTATATTTTGGGTTCTGACCACATTAAGCACCTGTGCTGGGCTCTGCACACTGTGCAGCGGAGCCTGTCCTGACCCTTCGGCCATCTGCACCAACCACTCCTTACACCAATAAATGCTAATTCTCAAGTCTGGGAATTACCTGCCATGTTCTAGTCTGTATTTCTTAAAACACCATCCACAAACAGATGACAAGAACTAGGGCATGTAAATACTTTATAATTCAAGACACTTCACTGAATATTGTTTAGAAATGGGCTCCACGAGCAGAGTGTGGCAGCACACACTGATAATCCCGGCACGCTGTGAGACTGAGGCAGGAGGAATGTAGGTATGAATCCAGCCAGGGCAACTTGGTGAAACTCCTATCTCAAAATTTTAAATAGGTCTAGGGATGTAATTTGTGTGCTCCCTGGATTTGAACCCTATTACCACAGAGGGAAGAAAAAAAATAGCATTTAGTGTCCATTAAGGGAAAGACTTGTTCTTTTTTATTCAGTTTGGTTACTCAAAATGAACATAAACATGTCAAGGGATCAGTGTACTTTGCACTAGTCTGTGTCTGAGTCCTTTGTTACTGGAGATTAAACTTGGGGCCTTCATACTGAGCTGCATCCTCTGTCCCTGTTTTGAAACAGGATCTTAAATAATCACTAAAATGTGTAGCTGTGCTCAAATTTGCTATCCAGCTTCAGCTTCCTAGAGTGCTAGGATTACAGACATGTAACACCCAGAATCCAAATTTTAAAAATCCTAATTCCTATCAACTAGAGAAACTACAGTTACTTGGGAGAAAAACAAATGTTGGCTAAGAAACAAATACAGAGATCTTGAAAATAAACTCTAGCCACTTTTCTTTCTCAAACCTTTTGTGAAAGATGAGAGAAATTAGAAGCAGAAATGTAGGGTACATGCAGCTTTGCTAATAGTCAGCTTTAAAGTATCAAGAATTTGAAACTAAAGTGAATTAGGAGGATTCCCAATCTCGGGCCAGTGCATCTGAATAGGGATGCTTGGAGAAGATTTCCCAGGCAAGTGAGATTCAATTAAAAGATCCTCTTTGTGCTGAGGAGATAGCTCGGTGTTCTAAGCACCCACCTGGCAAGCACAAAGACCCAGGCTTGATCCTTGGTACCACATGCTGTGGTGGCCCCAGAGATTTGGGTGTGCCTGACCAGCCACCAAAACTGGGCATGGTGGCACACTCCTGTAATCCCAGCGCTGTAGAGGCTGAGACAGGAGGATCAGTATGAGTCCGAGGATCCTGAACCAAATAAATTTTTTAAAATCTTTTTTCTAGGACCTGGGGAGCTGAGAACCCCAATTTAGATCTAAACTACAGCCCTCATGTCAAGGGAGATGATAAAATTAAACTGCAGGCCATGCATCAGGATGTCAAGAATTCCTACACACTGTGCAGGATTACTCCGCTTGAAGTCAGTCAGACACTAAAGTAACGTTTCTCAGCAGGTTGCCACATTCTGTAGAACACGAAGAGCCAAGCCTTTCTGCACTAAAAGCTGACGCTTGAAGATTGACAGAATTCTTTTAGTGTATGTGGTACAGGGTCTCACTACGCATCTCAGACTCTAGTGATCCTCCTGTTTTAGCCCCCCGCCCCCAGCGCTGTGATTACAGGTGTGCACCACCACACCCTGTCTCCATGGCCAGCTCAGCTTGCCTGGAGGTGGGCCCGGCGCAGCACCACAAGGATCAAACCCGGTCCCTGTGCTTGCCTAAGCAGCCTTAGTCCGGTGAGCTAGCTTGCTAGGCTGAAAGACAGAATTTATTAAAATATTCTGAAATTACTATATCAGACTCCTAGAAGTAGAATTGCTGGTGCTCAAACATTTCAGAAGGGCCATGAGAAGCAGAGGCAACAGTTGTTCCTGTTACCAAGGACTG